CGTTTTATAAACGTTATAAAAGTTTGTATTTTTTTACCGATAAAAATGTTTGTTTTCAAAGTCAGGGTCTGAGAGAAATTATTTGCGGTAAGGAAAGTTGAAACCTGTGAAGCCAGGGTTAAAGGGAGACCTTGCCATAAAATGATAATTGTAAGGAAAGTTCGAAACACCGTAACCAAGATAAGAGAATAAGAAAGGGTTGGCATAACCACCATAACCATGAAAATTCGTATACCCTAAACCGTACCGCGGTCTCGCAATGAAATTATGAAAGGTAGGAAAGTGGTAATTATGAAAGGTAGGAAAGCGTCTGTAATTGTAATAGGTGGGACGAAATGCGTAGGTAGGAGAACGAGCTTGAGTTGGATTTTGGTTGATAGCTTTCCACAAACCTGCGGCAAAAAGCTTATCTAGATTGAAGCCGTCTTTGTCCTCATTGTCACCGTCCACGTTAATAATGTTAATATTGCCGGTTTTGATTACGTCATTATTGTTTATGAAATTTCCAGCTTTGTTAAAGTTTGCACCTTTGAAGGAGTACTCGTTGAATGCGGTGTTGTATATTCTCCTAAAGCAACTGGTGCAAGCCCATTGATGTATACTATTGTCTTGTTTGCTGTCTTTGCTTTTGGAGAGGACGGCACCAGCTTGGACGATCGCAATGGTGAATGTAGACAGCAGAACCAGAAAGACCAACAGTATCTTCATTGCCACGTTTTTGAACGGCGACAGTGTCGTCGAGTTTAGTTTACAGAATTTTTCTGCAAAATTCTATCGAATTTTTCTTTTTTGAATCAGGGAAGGAAAAAACGGAAGGGAGAAGAGGGGTATTTTATAAATGAGCGTCATGGGAATCTTTGAGACGCTAGAATAAATTTTGATAGCATGTTGGTTTCTTTTATCTATTTAATCGAGCTAGCCTTCATTTTTGTAAATAAAAGATAATTATGCACACGCATCTTTTTTCGAGATGCATCATTGCTGGTAAGAATGAATCATCCTTGATCTATAAACGAGTGTCTTTTTCACTCGCACGGCGCATAATTTTTTGTATTGACTATTAATGATTCAGCTCATTGGTTATTTATCTTTGTGCTTTTGGCTAGGTTGCTATTAATGGACGGCGCACATGTCATGGTAATAATTATTTATTGAATTAATTAATATGGATGATCCCCACGGCAGACTTTAAAAAAGCCATTATAAACAATACATCCGAGGCATGCTTATTTTCTCCTACAATTGCGACTAGCCCTTACGTACAGAAGCTAATTACAATACTTTAATGATAAAGTATTCTGATTTCCCATTCCGAAAGTGAAAAATGAGTGCCTTGATATATTAATATACACTGGACGGCGTCCCGGCGAGACATTGTTTTACCAACTCCTGACCACATAATTTAATGGGAATTTCTGTTACACATATGTTGTATAAATGACTTTAAACCTATCTGAACTTGCTTTTGCCAAAACCAGAGCCCATGCTGATCAGTATTAACTATAGGGTCTTTTTGTTCAGTGGTTTCTTAATCAAAGTACACAGCTTGTTGTTCTGTTAAATGCCTTGTAACGCTTTTTACTGATATAAGCGAATCGACTATGAACGATGACAATTTTGTGACCACAAAGAGGTGGTATGTTTGCGCTTTTCGTGTCGACCTCAAAACCTTTATTAATAAACCATGATAATTATTCATCTCGCTAAACGCGTGCGCATAGGAAAGATGCAGCACGCCCATCTATTAGAGACACTTTATCGGCACTTCACGTGACTAAATAATCGATACACTTCCGTTTAATTAACATATTACTATACTGGTAAATCACGTGAATTTTTCCACTAATACCTCTCTCGCCGGGCGGGCCACTTGACTATTTCAATTGCGTGATGTCGGATGCGAAATACTTTCAAAGAGGTATGTAATTGATATAACTATTTCCCTACTTTATATGGCTGTAGCTCGCTTCATCCGCCCGTGTCAGCCCTTTCCTTACTATTGACAAAATAAAGATTTGGTAATCATATTCTACGTCATACCCGTTTCATACTTTCTCATTTGTCCCTCTCGCTTTCCCCGATACTTTAAACTCTTGACAGGCAAAATACAAGAACTCCGTGCAGAATTGAATTCTGACAAAAAAGACAAGCAATATGTAAAGAAAAAGACTGTATTAAAGAAAATTGTAGCCAATATGACAATGGGCAACGACATGAGCCCGCTGTTTGCAGATGTCGTTGATTGCATGAAAATTCCCGTGCTGGAAATCAAAAAGATGGTCTACTTGTATCTAATTAATTACTCTAGAAGCAAACCCGATATGGCGGCAAAGGCGGTCGATGCGTTTGTGAAGGTGAACAATTGAATCGAGTGGGTTTGTCGGCCTTTTTAGCGAGACGCGTACAATGCTTCTCATCTCTACCAGTCCTTTCCGTACAGGATGCTGAGGATGCTAATCCTCTAATCAGAGCGCTTGCAGTTAGAACCATGGGCTATATTAGTGTGGACAAGGTTGTCGAGGCTCTTGTTGATCCGCTACGACAATCTCTCCGCGATAGAGACCCGTATGTCCGTAAAACAGCTGCTACTACGGTAGCAAAGCTCTTTATGCATGATAAAGAACTGGTCGAAAGCGAAGGACTTATTGACAAGTTGAGAGACATGTTGACTGATTCTAATCCGACAGTAAGTACATAGCTCTTTCTATTCCTTTTCCTCCCCCTCTCCCCCCCCCCCTCTCCCCCCCATCCGGTTAGTTAATTGTAGCCGTGAATCATACAATAACGCTATTCAAACGTTAGGTTGTCGCCAATGCCGTGGCTGCGTTAACCGAGATATCCGAGCGATCAGACCAGATACAGTTGAAGCTGAACATGTCCATTGCTAGTAAACTCGTGGCTGCCCTTAACGACTGCTCAGAGTGAGTATTGGCCTTTTTGACCAGTAATTATACCCAATATTGGCTGCCGTTATTTACAGATTCTCTTTCCGTTGGTTTATTACAGATGGGGACAAACCTACATACTAGAGGCACTGATGTTTTACGTTCCTCAAGAGATGGGTGATGCCGAAATGTTGGCTGAACGTATTGCTCCAAGATTACAGCATGCGAATTCGAGCGTCGTTCTTACGGCTGTCAAAGTTATAATATATCTTATGAATTATATGACAAAGGACGACGAAATCACCGCCATGTGCAGAAAATTATCTCCACCATTGGGTATGTCAACGTTGTAGTTGTTGGTTACCGATGTTAATCTTGCTTACTTTCTTGCTCTGTCTTCAAGTTACTCTGCTGTCAAGTGGACCCGAGGTTCAATATGTGGCACTTCGTAATATCTTATTAATTATTCAAAGAAGACCGGAAGTACTCAAAAACGATATGAAAGTGTTCTTTTGTAAATATAATGATCCAATCTATGTCAAATTGGCCAAGCTTGAAATAATGTGCCGACTAGCGAATTCGACGAACGTTGACCAGGTGCTTTCAGAATTGAAGGAGTAAGCAAGCAGATATTTATTGTGTGTTGCGTTTCGACAAGCGTGTATTGATTGGCTTTTACAACATTCTATATAGATATGCAACTGAAATAGACGTAGATTTCGTGCGTAAGGCTGTCAGGTCTATTGGAAGGCTTGCAGTAAAGATTGAATCAACAGCAGATCGATGCATTGCCGCCTTAATTGAGCTTATTCAGACTAAAGTCAACTATGTCGTCCAAGAAGCTATCGTGGTGATAAAGGTAAATGATTTGCGTCAGTAAACACAGAAGGAAAGGTAGAGTTTGAAGAATGGAAGAGCGGCATTACGATAGTAACGGTAGATTATAGTCTAATGAGAATGATATTAATATGTAACGACTTTACTTTCAAGGACATTTTCCGTAAATATCCAAATCAATATGAAGTTATAATAGGAACGCTATGTGAAAATTTGGATAATCTTGATGAACCTGAAGCAAAAGCTGCAATGATATGGATAATCGGACAATACGCGGACAGGATAGAGAACGCGGACGTTCTATTAGATGATTTTCTATATTGCTTTTTAGATGAGCCTGTTGAGGTGAGCTCCTTATGGCGAGACTACAGACATGTCTCTGTTTTATTTTTTTGGTTCATCGCTACCGCATTCTTAATTTATCAATATTCTACTATCTGCTGGTTTAATCAGGTACAATTGGCTCTCTTAACAGCCACAATAAAGCTTTTCATAAAGCGTCCAGCAGCGGGTCAGGATCTCGTTACCAAGGTACTTAAATGGGCCACGGAAGAAGTAGATAACCCAGATTTACGGGATCGCGGATACATATACTGGCGGCTACTTTCGACTGATCTGGCTGCAGCCAAAAAAGTGGTTTTATCGGAGAAATTGAAAATCTCGACAGAGAGCGAAAACATGGATCCAATGCTTTTGGACGAGTTATTGTTACATGTTTCTAGCCTAGCAGCAATATATCACAAGACACCACAGACTTTCATCCATCACACTAAAGTACGGCGCCTAATACCATCACCAGTATTAAATAGAAAGGTTAATGGAACGTCAACATCAATCCAAATCGTTAATGGAGAACCAAGGTATGCAACTTTTATATTTAAGCTCCTTATGAGTGGTGTGGTTAACAATGCTGACGATATTTTTGTATATGTAGCCGAACACCCGATTCTAATGCACGTACGAATGCTGCTGGTGCTTCTGAGCGCACTTCCAACAACCTGCTGTTGGATTTATGAAAAATCATTGAACACCTAATAGAAGGATACTATTTATTATACAATTGTTGTTCTCTTGACTCTATCAAAGACTCGAGACAACGCAAAAAATGACGTTTGCCAGTTTGTATGCGAGTATTCGTAAGTTTTGGTTGGGTTATCTTTTATCAGTGGGATTTGTTATTATTATTTAATTTGAAGTTAAGGATTAATTGTCAAGGTTAATGTGAACTTATTGGGTGCGGGTGCTCTTTGGTAAGAAGTAGTAATTTAAGCTCCTGTTTTACATTTCACCTCATGAAGCATTAAACAATTTTACATTTGTGAGTAATAAAAACCAATTTGCTAACAGAGCGATGAGATGCGATCAATTGTATTGTAATTAATTTCCGTACCTTTACCATTTACTTCATGTTCATAAAGACCCTCGAACTGCCTTTTCGCCATTTTATAGAGACGCCCTCGTCCCGACCCGACGGTTTTGTCAGGCTTAGTGGATTTTAGAGCAGTTTGTGCCCTGTACTTGCATACTTCGTTTTGCAGTTTCTGTAATAATTTTTATTCGTTCCCTATTACCGTATTATGGCTGATTGTTAGCTATTACTCTAGTTATGAGAAAGGCATCAATGCATTGTGACCCAGAACAACAGTTGAAATTACTACACTTTGTATATTAATTAAAATGTCCATTATTACAAACTCTTGTAAGATGTTCATTATCAAGTTAAAGTTTTATTTCTAAGAATTCAAAAATTATCTCCACTAACCAATTCTTTTACCGGTAACGCACAGCGTTCTCGATAATAGTACCGACCCCTCTACAATTTGGAAGAGACAGCTTGATGCAGTGTTTGCTATAGAGCTGTCACTTTCCTCCCTTAATGTATTAGTATAAAATAAATTCTAAACTCATCTAAAAGAATTATTAATTAGTAAAAATATATACGATGATCACATGACATCACATTGTTTTGAATGATAACTGTAGAATATTAATGATAAGAAAATCATCATCACAAGCGGGACCTTTACCCCAATGTCACAGACGAGACCATCAGTGAACGACTCTAACGCTAGGAGATGTTGTTCCAGGTCGAATAGATGTTGATCGTGCGCATCCGGGGCAATTTCACGTAAAGCTTTTGCGAGATTAAGCGCGTAATCACGGTTTTGTCCGCTCCTTCCTGTATAAACCAATAAACATTGATAAATATCATTGAGCGATAATGATGCCATTTTTGCAAGTGCGATTCTTATAATTACCGCGAGATCGATGTATTTGATACGCAATTTCTTCAATTGGGGCTGATCCACAATAGTTGCTATGGCAGGGGTTTGCAACATAGCAGACAGCCTGTATGACGATGAATGTTATTTAGCATTAGAGAAGTCTTGTCTCGGAAGATATCTTGTAAGTTGATGTGTGCGACTTACTTGGGTAATTATTGGTTCAGTTCTTCCTTTTTGATAAACTTCTACTAATTGAATCGAATACCCGTTCTCGCGACAGCCCAAATATTCCTTTACCTCTGCTGCCTTATTCGAAGGAATCCTATATGCAACACCCCAAGTAATATCGTCTTCATTGTTTTGGTGGTAGTCATCGAGAAGCTTCCATTCAGAATAAGGTATCAGTGTAACCACGCGACCGGGATTGCTCGCCGTCCCGCGATGATCCGTGCTATGCTGTTACGGCGAAAAATTAGTCGTAAGTCAACCTTGAAAAAACTAAAGAATATTAACGGCATTTATAATGATTGATAAGGTTATAGCTTGCCTGCCAGAATCGTCGCACATATCCTTTAATGTATCCAGGAACTCTATAAAAGATGCATTATTAACAGCAATGCCAACATGACTTCAAAACTGCATACATCAAATTTACCTTTCTTCCCATGCAATGGGTGGCTTCCAAATAAGCGAACCGTATCCAAATACCCAATACTCTTGGTGCTCTACTGACAATTGAGATTCGGTCAAACTTTTCGCTTGGGATTGAGATTGCTTGATACGCACATATTCTGCTCCTCCATTAGTAAGTATACTGCTCTTTATGATACTATTGACTGAGACAGGTTCAGGCATCTATGTTACCAAATTTTCAAAGAATTAAACGAGAGAATAAAAGTGAAATGAAGGTAATCAAATACTAAGTCTCAGTTGACGATACAATTGTTTTGAGGCCAGAAAATCTATCAGAGTCTGCATTGGCGAGGGTATCTTTTATGTTGTTCGATCATTCTGAAGCGAGATTCACCATGTGAGCGCTGGATGACATGACAATCCTAAATGAAGTGATCATTACCCCACAGATTTGCGGAAGGGCACAAACTGCTCTAAAATCCACTAAGCCTGACAAAACCGTCGGGTCGGGAC